TATGAAAGTCCTTTCCTTAGGATTTATTCTCCTGAGAAGCTGAGAGGCCTCAGAAATAAAATGTAAACAATGATTCTCTGCTGCTGTGGAATGCAACAGGTGCATCTGGGATTGGTCTATTGTGGTTGTTTCTAATTAATGGCCAATCACAGTCAGCTGGCTCGGACTGTCTCAATCACTAACCTTTGTTATCATTCTTTTTCTATTCTTAGCTGGCCTTCTGATGAAATCCTTTCTTCTATTCTTTTAGTACAGTTTTAACATAATATACATCATAAAATAATAAATCAAGCCTTCTGAAACATGGAGTCAGATCCTCATCTCTTCCCTGGTCCTGGTAACCCTGCAAACACCACCACAAAGGTCAATTCTTTCAGTTCTCTACAATCACATAGAAAATCATGATTTTCTAACTGATGCTTTTAGGTCAAGGGTGGAGGTTTGACAATAAAGGACACAGGAGGTTTCACTGCAGGTGCATCAATGCCCTGGTTGGTTGTTTCTTCCCCCAGAAGGGTAAAGGTCCAGTATTGCAAGGCTGGTCCTCTCCCCTGTGCAGCACCAGACTCTGGTGCCAGGGGGGCTGTGGGACCTGTGGTGTGGTGGCACTGTCCTCCATGGGCCCTGGGTGCCACCTGCAGCCTCAGCCTCCTGCCCAGGGCAGGCAGGGCTGGAACAGGGCACAGGCACAGCTCAGCCTCTTTAGGGACACCACACAAAATGCTACAGCTTTTTTGGAGTTAAAGAAAACAGTTAAAGTGGTGCAGGCCAAAGTATGAAGGTCACAATGAATCAGTTCAGGATGGTGTGGCTTTTACCAGCCTTTGTGACAGGTATTAATCTGTGAGCCCTGCTGGTGCATCAGTGACAGCAATGTGTCACCAGGGCCACGTTCTGAGCTGGATGCAGGAACTCCCACAGCTCCATTGGCCCAGCAGGACAATCATTATGGCAGTGACTCACAGACTGCTCTGCACAACACATTATTGTTGTTAACAAGATGTATAGGACTGTAGATAGAGACAAATTACCTGCTGCCCTTTGTAACTTTATCACAATCCAGCAATAGCCAAGCTCCAGAGAGCTCCCAGGGATGGGAACCATCTGCCCAAAGTGTGGGACAGGGAGCAGCAGAGCTGCCCCACACCAATGAAAGCAGGAGTGACATCATCTACTTGAGCATTAACACACTTAAAGAGATCTTTGTTAGCAGCACACAAGAGTGAATTCTTCATGAAGCACACCTGATCTTCATGGATTGCCAAAGAGTTACACCCAAATCCACTTTTCTACACCTCTGCACTTCAAAATAATCTTGGAAGCATACAAAAGGTGACTAATACAAGAGATAATACCAGATTCTATCAGGTTCACCTAGCAGAACAAAGGGGTTTTTTTGTTTATTTTGTATTTGTTTGAGTTTTTTATTCCCCTCCACCCATAAAGGTGGAAGCAAAGCTAATGGGAACTCTGGGAGAATTGCCTACATATCAGAATTTTCCCCCCTACTTTTATTAGTGAAAAGTAACACACTGTGATCTAATTGACTCATGTTTATGAAACATCTAGCCCTGAACTCTGACCTCTCCTACACCATCATTGGAACTAGAGACACTCAGTAAGCTGAGACAATGCAGTTATTCCAGCACATTTGACTCCTGGGAGGTTTAAGTTAAATAGCTCAATCCAAGTTTTTCCAAAAAAGATGGAAAACAGAACTACAGCTCTTCCCCCTCCAAACCCCATCCTGCACAGCCCCTTTGAGGGACAAAATGGGTTCCTGTAAGTAATGACTTTAGAAATTACTAGAGGGACAAAGCCAAGACAAAGCCTTGATTCCAAGACAAAGCCTTCATTTTTGCTCTCAGGGGCAGGCAACTGCTTCAAAGCATTTCCTATGCTCTGTCAAAAGGGTACCTGAACACGTATGGAACTGGGTAACTGCTGTACTTCCCTCTCCTCCAAACCACTACTTACAGTTAAGTAGCACTACTAGTCTTTAAATATTTCTTCAAGAGGCTGAAGGTAGTTTAGCTCAGCAATGCACACACAGGGCAAGATGAATCAGATTTCTATAGAATGTACCTGGAGAGAAGCAGCAGTTCCTTGGTCCTGTAATAGAAGGCTGCTGCATGCAGGAACCAGAGCTTGGGGTGACCAAGCTGCTTTAAATTCACCATCCTCAGCAATGAATCTTTGATGGTTTTGCACCTACCTTCATGCCATTTTAACTACTTTTGTCTAAGTTTCCCTTATCCCATCAGTCAGCTTTTAAGAGTGCAAGTTCAATTTTGACACAGTTCAATTTGATGTACTGACAACACTTTATTGAAGTTCAAGTAAGTCTTCCTTAAAAACCTGTTCAGTGTATTTATCACTGCAACAGGTCGTGTAGAAGGTAAGAGGCTGTGGGGAGGCCAGCAGAGCAGTGGCTCAATGCTTTGTGAGAGGCCTGAGTTGCTCACATGCTCTCTTTTCCCAGACAAGGACAGAAACAGGAAGTATTTACAAGTTCATCTCAAAGAATGAGGTTTACATTTAAAAATTCACAGATACATGTAGAGTTGGAACTGTTCAAGTATGTTTCAGTTGGACAAAGTGCTACAGAACACAGAAAAACCAGTAAAGGCAAGAGGAACTATTAAGACAAAGAGGTGGCAGTCATTTGTGTGCTAAACCACTTGTAGGTGGTTGCAGTATATGCAAGACCTAGAAGTTGAAAGAATTTGGGGTACTGTCCTGGATTTGGAAAGTGTAGCTGTCAGCAGTAGAGTCTGGTACAACATTTTGGTCTTCCTCTTCCTAGAAGGAAAGAAAAGAAGAAGGTTGGAATAGCAGTAGCATTTGAATCTAGTAGTCAATGCTGGAATAGAAAATAAAAGTGGAAGAGACCCCTGAAGCCACTTACTTCTGCTGAAAAGTATTTCTCAATGATGGAGGATGAGGCTCTGTACACTTGTTCGTTTTCATGTGACTGGAGAGCTTCAATTCTGTCCAGACCCCCACACTCCTCAATCATGAGGCAAAGCTTTTCAGTCTCATTAATCTTCTCAGCAGCCTGCAACAGCAAAGTGTGGAATTACCTCTGGAAAGATATACAGCAGCTACTGGAGAGCCATTAGCAACAACGTGGACAATAATCAAGTATAACTGCACCCACATACCAAGAAGATGTTGGAAACTGCATCCAGGATAACGAGCACAGTTTTGCTGTCTTTAGTTGAAAGAAGATTCAGCAGGGGTTCAAGAACACCAGCCTGAACAAGGTACACTATCTGGTCAATTGTTCCACCACTTGTGTAGTTCGTCACAGCCCACACAGCTTCCTTCTGAGACTTGAAATCCCCCTGTGAAGGTAAAAGCAGAGGGTTAGAACACAGAGAAGCAATAGGAAAAGGCTCAACATGGTAAATATAGGCTTTGTTTACCTTCCTCAGAATAGCAATGAGATAAGGCACGAGACCGTGGTCTACAACTCGCTGGATCTGATCCTGACGCCCAGCAGTGATGTTGGACATTGTCCAGGCTGCTTCTTTCTGAATGTTGTTTTTGTGATGGGAAAGGAGACTTGGAAAGACAGCCAGAGCTCCTGAGTCAATAACAACCTGTGTCTGCTCATCAGTACCAGTGACAATATTTCCTATGGCTCTTAGTGAAGGAGTCTGAAACAAAGATGAATGGAATACTTAGGAAAATTGTTCAAAACCAGATTAGATTATAATAAACAGCTCTATACTTGATGGCCACCCACTCTAACCTTCCCAGTTAACAGCATGACCTGCTATGTTCAGCTGGGGTTTGTGCTCCTTGTTAGCATTCCACAGGCAGACACTCATGTCTGCATGCACAGACTGCACACCTCCCAAGGTCAGGCTGCAAACAACCACCCATGACAGAGCTTAGGGAAACTACCTGCTAAATACTAATGCAGTTTTATTATGCTCTAATTATAGTGTGTACAGAGCACACTTGTGAACACTGTCCCTAGAATTTGGATTTGAAACAGCAATTGAAAGGCAAGCTTAGTGAATGTTGACTGTTGTGCTGGCCTGTGAAGTAAATTCAATGACTATATAAAGCAGCTTGATAGGCTGCTGCTGATGATGACTGTCTCATGCAGGACAGCACCCAGGCAGGAGAGAAACTGATGTCTCACTTGACAAAAATTAGAACAGGCACCTGACTCATGTATGAAAGGAGCCATTCAGTTCAATGGACACTACTGTCCTTAACTTGCTTGATTTGAATCATGGCTAGAGCTGCACAGCAGCCGCCAATCCAATCCCTTACCATTATTGGCAGGTCACTACATCCCAGGAGTCTCACAAGTTGTGGCACCAATCCAGTTTTCACAACAACTTCTATCCTGTCATTGGAACCGTCTGTGAGGTAGGAAATTGCCCAGCATGTGTCTGCCAACACCTCGGGGTCATCGTGGTGCAGGAGGCGCACGAGGGTTGGGAGGATCTGCTGGATGGCTTCGATGGGAGGGGCGGGGTTCTTGTTGCGACACAGGTTTGAGAGGGTCCACGTAACATTGCGCAAATATCCAGACTGCAATGGTTAATCCAAGAGTAATGTTAATAACAAAGAATAAATGGTTAGCAATAATTCAGCCAGGGTCTACTCAGTAATTGTAACTTGAATCACTCTGCACACTTACAGCCAGGGAAGAGAGGTCAGGAACAGCGAGGAGACTCAGCAGTGGCTCGATTGCACCATATTTAATAACCAGGTCTCTGTAGGCAGAGCCATCCCCTGCAAAGAAACAAGAAAAAAAGCCAGGTGACGACCAGCAAAAAGGGAATATGTGTACACAGAACCACTGTGTGTTAGAGGATTAATTGTTCTAGTCCTTAAGAAAGGCTGGATAAAATCAGGAATGAGAGGACAACAGGACTAGTGCCATGGTTCAGTCACATGACAAGCATGTTCAATCAAGCCACTGAGCTTCACCTTTTGTGTTGGAAGAAGAGGTAATGTAATGTAGAGTGTTTTCTGTGCAGCTTTTACTAGAGCTGTATAGTTCATAACCATGCAGGGTCTTGCATGTTTCTTTGGAGACAAATCCAAGCCCTACACTAGAACAGAGCTATTCCCAAAATATGGGACTTGAAATGCATTATATTCAACAGCTGCATGATTGGGCACTACAGAATAAGGCTGATGGCATGTCAGAGTTTGACTGAGAATTCAACTGCAGGCTAAAATAAATACCTTATAATTGATTTTAAAAGTCTAAGGACAAATGTTAAGAAAATCCCAATCAAACAAGGCTTTTAAACAAGATAACATTCTCTGTGTGAAGATTCACTGTTCTCTAGGGCTCAGCCACTGGACACCATTATACAGGAGGTACTACATTTAACTGTATTGTTTATTTTGACCAATTTTTAAAGACCGGGTGCAACACTGGCTGATCAAGTAATCCTGAGGGAAGCATGAGAAACTTCAGTGTACCAATACTTATTAGCAAGCAAGGAATATTGGCCATCACATACAGAATTATTTGAGTCACTGCTTCCTGCCTTCCCCCTTTTAGTCAACGCACAGAGCAGAGCTCATTGCTGAGTCACAAAAACACTGTGATGTCTGAAAAAGGTTTGTGTTGTAGCATGATTAGAGATCCATCAAAGCTGAAATCTGGAAGCAATGCCCACAACACAACCCACAGGTTGGGCTAGGCATTGCATGAGCTCTGAAGACAAAGTTTCCTGCAGCTTGCTCGGCAATGCAGGGCATGTCATGACTGGAAAGCCACTGGGGCAGAGCTCCCAAACAGCTCAGCACAGGGCATGGCACAGCAGGAGTGATGTCAGTGATGCCCTCCCACCTCAGACAAGGGGACAGGTCTGAACTCCAGAATTCACAGAATCACCAGGTGGGAAGAGACCTTAAAGGTCAAGTCCAGCCCATGCCCTAATACCTCAACAAAACCATGGCACCCAGTGCCATATTCAGTCTTTTTTTAAAGACATTCAGGGATGGTGACTCCACCACCTCTCCAGGCAGACCATTCCAGAACTTTCTGTAAAAAACTTTTTCTAATAGCCAACCTATATTTCCCTTGGTGCAGCTTGAGACTGCGTGCTCTGGCTCTGTCAGTGCTGCCTGGAGAAAGAGCCCAGCCCCAGCTGACTAGAACCTCCTGTCAGGAGGATAATGAGAGCTGTGCAGCACAGGGACATACCTGCAATATTCCCCAAGGCCCACACAGCCTGCTCACTGATGTGAGGGTGTGGAGAGGCCAGCAGGGAAATGAAGGCTGGGATTGCCCCTCCATCCACCACTGCCCTGGTTTGCTCTGACGTGCCAGAGGCGATGTTGGTGAGTGCCCAGGCAGATTCAAACTGGATGGGGCTGCAGTCTGCTCTGCCCAGGAACGAGACGAACTTGGGAATCAAACCAGCCCGAATGATGTTGTCTATTGGGGGTTGCTTCTCTCTTGAGAGGAGTTTCCTAAGGAAGAAGGCAAACAGGAAGCATTATTCTTGCCTGCAGACATCTGAACAACAAATTAAAGTCTTAAAAGCACCATAGGTAAAAAGTTTAACATTGCCTTAACATGCAGAGAAGGCAACACAACACAGGATAAAGGAGAAATGCAGACAAGCTCAACACTGCCTTCCTAGGCCTCTGTTAATGCTGGGTTTGGCATGTCTGCACTATGGGAGAGGTTCTGTTCAGCCTCTGAAGTAAAGCAGACCTGCAGGAGTCATTACACATCTGAACTGCTAGAGGCTCCTCAGCAGAGAGCTCAGTGACTGCCAGAAGCAGCACTGCAGCAATATGCAAGCTTATTAAAGGATATTTTAGATTGGGAAGAAGAAACAAACTTGGCAGACTTCAAACCCCAGTCATCTTACTGTTCACATTATTCTAAGGTGGATTGCCACACTCATACATATCAGACTTGAGTGTTAACACAGTTTAAAAGGTGCCTTACTTTGCTATAATAAAGGGTTTGCTATAATTACTCCTTCAAATCTAAGGTGACTGCTATTAAATTTGCCACCACTAGAGCAAATTACTTCTTCCTACTAAAATATTCAGGCACTTTAAATATTCAAAAGCCACATGGTTTGAATAAAACTATGCCTAAGTTATGGGTACCTCAGCATGGTATATGAGATGGTGTTTATTGAAACACTGCCTGATAAGAAAGACATAAGCAGCCACTTGGGCTCATAAGTCAATTCTCTCACCTTATCTAGTTATTGGCTTGCACAGCTGAGTTGGTTTCCTCTGAAGAGCTTACCTGGCAGCTTGAGTAGCCTGTAGCTGAAGCTCCATGTTATTACTATTAACTCCTTTGACTATTTCTTCCACTGACCAGTGTGCCAAAACCTGTACAAGAAAACATGACATGAGTGCTTCACTGGGCCTGTTGGGTATTCCTGACCACAGAGAGCTCTTACACAATACCATGACAAGGCCCCAGTTTACAGCCACTGCCCTTGAGATATTTCAAAACCTCAGCAGCTACAGCTGCATCTGCAGTTATCTGAACTGCTGAAAGCTTTTTTAACCAAGTGCTTCATACCAGTCATGCAAGGCTTAAAATGTAGCTGCAGCCAGTGATGCTTTGAGAGGACTAACTTGGAAGAGAGACCAGACAGAGTTAAAGAATAAAGTAGGTATTTATTAAAAGGCCTCAATGGATACCTTGGGCAGTACAAGAGCCTGGCCAGGACGACACCAAAGATGAACCAAAATGGTCACAAAATGGACCATGGTCACAATCACAAATGGTAACAAGGACTGACACCTTTTTAAGTTTTGGTTCATTTGCATATTGGAGTTAATTGTCCAATTATAGCTTTAGGTTATTTAGTTCTATCTTTATTTTTCTCTCATCAATTCAGCATTGTTTATATTTTTTTGGGCCTGGAGGTTGAAATAGTTGCCCTTGACCAAGCTGGAAAAGGATTGTTTGTCTGCCTACGCTGTGAAGAGAACTTGCTAACACTTAAGCCTCCCCTTTGAGGAGGATTAGAGGTGCCCTTATTGCTCTCTACAACTCCCTGAAGGGAGGCTGTAGACAGGTGGGGTCTCTTCCACCAGGCAGCACTGACAGAACCAGAGGACACAGTCCCAAGCTACCTCAGGGAAGGTATAGGTTGAATATTAGGAAAAAATTTTTCACTGAAAGAATAATAAAATACTGGAATGCTCTTCCTAGGGAGGTGGTGGAATCACCATCTCTGGATGTGTTTAAAAAAAGACTGGACATGGCACTTGGTGCTACAGTTTAGTTGAGGTATGTTAGGGCATAAGGTGGACTCGATGATCTTAAGAGGTCTCTCCCAGCCTCATTATTCTGTGATTCTGTAGTATGAAGCTCAGAGTTACACACTGCAGAAGCTGAAAAGTATGAAGGCTAAATCTTAAGGCATCCCCAGTTGTGAGTAAGAGTGCTGTCCATTAGAGGTGATAACACAGGCCTGAGCTGACAATGCAGATGTAGTGGTGCTGTCCTGCCCTTGAGAAGGGCTTCATGCTGGCCTGGCTGCAGGACCTTAGAGGGTAACACCCTCCAAGTGTTCTGAGGGTTCTGAGGACCCACTTACCTGGTTGCCTTTGTTTTCCTGAAGGGGAGAAGTAGCATCGTCTGGTAAAGTGCTCACATTTCTTCTTTTAAGCATCTGATCATCTTTCTTAGCTTTCCTCAGCTCCACATTGACTTCAATTCGCCGCCTTCTCATCTCCTGCAGGAAAAACACTCAGAGTAAGTTCTTGGCTTTCAAAACTTGAAACTTAGATTTAAAGACACAACGGCTGGCTAAAGTACTAATTGCACCAGAGTACTCACTGTGCTGTCCTTTCCTTTGTTCTTGAATCTGTTCAATCGAGCCGATGGTGTATTCTCATTAGTAGACATCTTGCTTGTTAGAGTTTTGAGCGGGACAGATAAAAACAAGTCTGAAAACAGAGTAAAGGCAAGATTACTCCACAAAAGTTAAATTTTAAAAATTGGATCCATACTCAAGAATAAGAGGCACTTGATTGTATTAATACTATAACAACATCTGACTTGATCAATCGCTGTCTCTTTAAAGAGCCAGATGTTACAACAAGCTCTAGCATCAACACAACAGCAGAAGACACAGTCTCACGATTTTAAGACACTTTAAACCAAATACTATTAGTTATTATTTTCAGCAGCAACATAGATTTTCCTTTCCACAGACAACACACCCATGCTGTTAAATACTATTTTCACTATCACATACCTGTGCTGCACAGGATCCCACCCAGCCCCACCCCGACCTTTTTGGACGAGAACAGCGAGCTCTCGCAATGGGAAGGATCCCGAGGAACGTTTGCAGAGCGGGTGCAGCCAGCAGCACATAACAACGGCTACACGGGTAACGAAGAAAA